GACGGCAGGCATAGAGTCTGCAGACGACGTCGTGAACGGTATGCCCAATGTTGTGTACAGGAAGTCGACAGATTCGGGGGCGGAAGTTGCATGGTGTGGGGTGCTTTCTGTGGGAACAACCGTTCCCGACTTCTGGTCATCCGTGGAAACCTCACAGATGCTGCTTACCGCGACCAGGTGCTCACCCCCTGAACTCGTTCCTTTCATGGCGGCTCATGGCCCAGGTCTACAGTTATGCATGATAATGCTCGGCCGCATACCGCGATGTTGACACGAAATTTCCTTCAAAACGCTGGAATCAACGTCATGGACTGGCCATCGAGGTCCCCTGACCTTAATCCAATAGAGCACGTTTGGGATGCACTTGGGAGAAGGCTTCGTGGTCTTAGGAACCAACCTCAGAATTTGCAGGAACTTGGCACTGCCTTACATAAGAAATTTCGCATTTTTATTCTGTGACTTGACATTCTGTATACCCATGTTTTGGAACAGCGGTGTAGCCTAATGGAACGGATTATGGCACTGTCAGTGTATCGAGTACATCACACAGATCTCAGCAATGAAATAATAACAATTTAACCATCTTAACATCTCTTGTTCTTTTATAGTGCCCTGAAGAAAGAATGTGAAGTTTCTTTTTTTGACTCAGTATATGTTACATTTGACCACTTTCTAAATGGCATTGTGTATTCATATTAATATGGAAGTTGTATATCCATGGAATTGTCCTCATTCTTCCTCTCCTCAACTTCTAGAATGCCAATCAAAGAAGTGAATGTCGAGGGTTTGATCGTCTAACAAAAACCGTTAAACAAATACACTTCCTGATCTGTTTGATTGGCATTTAGAAGTTGGTGACTAATAAGAAAGTAAGATTGTTTATGGATAACAACTTCTTTTATTATATACTCATGCCAATAATGATTCTCCAATTAAAAAAATTGAAGGGGGTGACAACCATTATTAGCATGAGTATATATGATACGACGTTTCGGTATGGATTCTTATACCGTTGTCAAGCAAGAGTGAAGTACTACAGCACAGAACAGACTTATATACATGGACAGGGATTAAGTAATAACAACATGTAGGTATGAATCAAGGGGATTAACAACAACAACAAGGCACGGTGGTAATAATGTAGTGACAAAAGGAGGAAGCCAAAGGTCCTAGAGGCAGAAACAAAATATACATGGCTGATAAGATTAATTAGCAATGATAGCTGGAGTGCTCTAATCTGTTGTTTTTATCAGTTCATTGTATGCAGAAGGGATGAGATATCCCTGGTCTCTGTTGATTGAGGGCTTGTGTCTCCGGATTTGAACTGCTTCTGCAAGTTTTCTTTTGGTGAAGTCCTGGTGGTTTTACGATAATATCTTTACATTGTCCCAAATTATGTTGTGATTGGGACAGTTGATGATGTGGTCTGATAGTGCTGATTTTCTGCCAGAGCCATGTGCTCAGCCTTATGAATGGCTGAAGTAAGGTTTGCAGCTCAGTCTGAACTATCTTATCGCGACTTATAGTTAAATTCATCTCACATCACCTCAAATTTCAAAGACACATATCTACACCTATTCTTTCAGTCAACGAAGGGCATTATTTCGTCATTCTAGAATATGTATAGCAGACATATTTTATGAGCTTAATACCCCCATATCACTGGGCAGCGGCACTACTGTGGAAGCAAAAATGCTGTATTCCGCCCTTTTCCCGCAAATCTTCCCCCTTCTTCCTCGGCTTTCCGCCACAGCACGCAGTTAATGCGTAGGTGTTTCTCGTCTTCCTTACTCTTCCACCGGTCAAAAATATTCGGCAAACGGGCTTTTGAACATGTTCTAGTAGAGTGTATGCAAAGGCGGAACGTCGTCTCCCTCAAGGCTAATACGATTGCTGCTGCTGCTGCTCGTTCAGGGGCTTCCACCCCTACCTTGAACATGTTCAAAAGCTCGTTTGCGGAAAAAAAATCCATCTTTGTTCCTCGGGGTCAAAGGTCATTCCGCAAACTTCCACAGTCCATCCGAACACATTCCGCCATATCTGCAAGCATTTCGCAGTCATTCCCAATATATACGTAAGTAACGCAGGTTTTCCGCAGGCCTATCCGCAACGTTTACTTCCCTTTCTGTGTGGGCTACAACGGCTACAGAACAGCTGCTTTCATACGCAGCAGAACGCGGAACACCCTCGCTCAGAGAAGGTAGGGACGGAAAACATGCGTAATACCCGCTTAACATCTGCTTTCACGGACGGAAACTAGCGGGGAACAAGGAGGAATGACTACGGAATATGCGGTATATGCGGAAGGAGTGCAGACTAATAGCGAAAGACTTGTGGAAGACTTGCGAAATATTTCTCCTAATATAAATACGGGCGCGGAAAACCGCTCTCCATTCATTCTCAGTGCGACCGCCGGGGAGTCATCCATGCCGAAAGCCAAAGCCAAGAAGAAGGGTGGCAAGAGAACCAGAACCATCACAAGATACAGATCCCATGCGTATTCCTGAGCATGATGCAGAAGATGATGCAGAGTTCGACATTGCTGCTGTTATTGATACTGGTGCTGCTGCTGCTCCAAGGAAGAAATCCTGAGTCTACATTAAGCTAAACGACGCCGAAGAAGAGCTGATGGTTGAATTTGTCAAGGCCAAGGAGTGTCTCTACAACGAGAAGCTCCGATCCTGGACAGACAAGCACCTCAAAGCGAAACTGTGGGCTGACCAGGCCGGGCGTATGGGGAAGTAGAAGAGGAATTAAGGCAGTGGTTCTGCAGCGTCCGGACGAAACTGGGGTAACTAAGACGTTGGAAGTCCGGGCAAGCGAACATGCAGCTGTCTGAGAGGGATAGCTGGATATTATGGAGTTTCAGCTTCCTCTGCCCACACATTGTCGAGGTGCAAAGGCGGAACGTCGTCTCCCTCAAGGCTAAGATTGCTGCTGCTGGTTCAGGGGCTTCCATCCCTGCTGAGCAACCGCCCTTGCCTTAAACATCGCAAGAAACGGAGGAGATCCACATTGACAAAGAGCTGCCACCCGTTGACATGCCCATGCCAGTCACCAACAGCGTTCCTCCAACGCCTGCTACACCAGTATCTACCTCAACTGTAACTCAAAGCAGTCGAGGGAAGCAGAAGTCGGGTGGATCGGATATGTCCAACTTTGACGAGAGGGCCGATAGAATACTAACAGCAGCAGCGCAGCTGCAGGACCAGAAGAAAGAAGTACTGTCAATCCACGATGCAGAGAGGGCGTCCTACGCAAACTGGGTGGCATCTATCCTCAAGACCTTGCCTAAACCAGTGTACCGGTACGCAAGACGAAGATAATGCAGCTAATGGATGACTGCTCTGACAGAGCTGAAGCCCTGGAGAGACAGCAGCAACCACCCCCTCTACATCATCAGCAGTATCAGCAGCACCACCACCACTGGCAGCATCAACAACAACATTACTGGCAGCCGCCACCGTCGCAGTGGCCCACACAGGTCTCCGATCCGCCAATGTCTATGTAGGGGTCCCCAAGGTGGGTTGCCCAACAGTGCCCTCAACCCTCGACGTCGTGAGAAGCAGAGCAGCAAGAACAGCAGCAGAGTGAACCCCAACAGCAGCCTAGACCTGTGAGTTGCACCCCGGTGACGTGTACCTCATCGCCAGCATCGACCCCTGCCGGGAGAGTGGGACGCAAGTGGGAGTGAGCCCAATCTGTCGAACATTTCCAGTGTGCTACGGCGGTTCGAGGAATACGTAGGTGAAGGTTCTGCTGCACCCCAGCACCATTTTATGGACCTTTAAAATCTGTGATGTGTAAGTTGTGTAAATAGCGTTACTATTTTGTTCATTGTTCGCTGTTACTTTCAGGAATTAAAATGTCTTAAATAATTCAGTATTTGTTGATTCTACATGGACGAGGACGCCTGGATATTTTTACCCCAAACATGAGGTACTTAGCGTTATTCTTCCCAGGGTGCTTGAGTTGCACTATTTCAGCCATATAAAGACAATCAGGGGTTTTACCCGAAGCATGAGGTACTGTGGAGCTATTCTTCCTAGAGTGCTAGAGCGGCACTCTCTCTGGCCATCACAGGGGTTACATCTTGCAACCCCTTTGGAAATGCATGTCATCCTTGACACGTGCAGATGAGGATTACTCTGAACATTTCCATTGTTATAGACAATGTGGATACTTCTCATTATGTAGTGGTTTCCTTGGTACCGGGAATTCCCTGTTCTACTGATGAAATATTTTGACCATATTTAAGCCCAGGGCTTAAATTCGAAAATGCACAATATTTTGTTAACAAAAAAAACCCCTTTAATAAGGAAACTGGTCTATAATTTCAAAATTGAAAGTTATGAAAATGTTTACTTGAGTTAGTAAATGTGAACATGAATGATTAATGCAAAACACGAACTTCAAAACTATTATCACGTTTTCCATCCATATTCAGCAATTGCATTGAGCAGGGTGCAAGCACTGTGTTTACTCTATTGACACTAAGTTTTGTCGTGTTCACTTTCTTTTGCCCGATAGTATACACTGGTGAGGCTGCAACATACGACAACTTTCAACAGGAATGGATGCATCTCCAGAGGGGTTACATATAACAACCCCTTTGAAAATGTATGTCACGCTTGAAACTTGGAACGAAAACACGACACAGTAAACATTCAACATAACTTAATAACAAGAAGAGTCAACGCATCAATAACAAAAATGCGGTCAGCTGTTACAGTATTAAAAACAAGAATAGAAAATAAAGAAGAAGCCATGGAATGAAGTCGGAATGAGAGAAATACATAGATCATACTTTTAGTCATGTCACTGCTTTGTAAAATAAGTTTACAGTACAGCTGCATCTCCCTTTTCAGGTTACTCCAGGAGTACAGTACATGTCACTTGTTAGCACAATGGAAGTAGTGTCCAGACACCTGTCACCTGATCACATTACACAACACACAGTTAGTCCAATGTGACTTCAGCTGAAGATGTAAAGGGCAACTTCACACTTGGATCTGTCTGATGATGTAGGGTTGACAGGCGACTTTTCCAACTTCACTGTTGAAGTAGAGCTTGAGGTACTCCCGCTGTTTCTTGGCCTCTATAGTGTCTCTGTTGGGACGCACCACATTTGCCAAATCATGCATGTTGACCGTCTCACGCCTCTGCCCATGGATGATGTTGTGGTGTTCTTCTTCTCTGTCGAAAAGTGAATCCTGAATGGCAGTGTACCTCATCCTCAGTATACTGTGAAGACAGACAGCAGCTTCAACCATTCTTCTGACGACATCTGGTCCCTGATGCAGTGTAGTTAGAAGGAATTGCCAGAGATTTGCCAAGATGCCAAAGGCATTCTCAACAACTCTGCGCGCACTGGATATCCTATAGTTGAAAACCAATTCATCGTCTGTGAGCCCCCGTCTGGAGTATGGCTTCATGAGATACTTTCTGACGGCAAAAGCGTCGTCCCTCAGAAGGAAGTATGGCGTGTCGACGTCGTCATATGGGAGCGGCACTGGTCTTGGGAAGTTAATGCTACCATCTTCGATGCATTCTTTAAGCTCTGAGGCGTTGAAGATCTGGGCATCGGACATGTGCCTCATTCCACCGACGTCTAACTTCAAGAACCTGTATTTGGCGTCTACCAATCCGAACAGGACGATGGAGAAGAATCCCTTGTAGTTATGGTATAGACTTCCAGAGGATGGTGGTTTTCTAATGGCGACGTGCTTCCCATCTAAGGCCCGCAGATCATGGGGGAGGTTCCATTCATCTTGGAAATCCCAGCTGAGTGATCTCCATTCCTGCTTAGTCTGTGGACACTGTATTACTTCGTCTTTGTAGTGATCGATGATAGCCTGACATACCTCGGGTAGGAAGCTTGCAATGGTGTGACGAGATACCCTGACATACCTCGGGTAGGAAGCTTGCAATGGTGTGACGAGATACCTTGACATACCTCGTGTAGGAAGCTTGCAATGGTGTGACGAGATACCCTGACATACCCGGGTAGGAAGCTTGCAATGGTGTGACGAGATACCCTGACATACCCTCGAGGAAGCTTGCAATGTTGTGACGAGATACCCTGACATACCTCGGGTAGGAAGCTTGCAATGGTGTGACGAGATACCCTGACATACCTCGTGTAGGAAGCTTGCAATGGTGTGACAAGATACCCTGACATACCCCGGGTAGGAAGCTTGCAATGGTGTGACGAGATACCCTGACATACCTCGGGTAGGAAGCTTGTAATGGTGTGACGAGATACCCTGACATACCTCGGGTTTCGAAGCTTCAAATGGTGTGACGAGATACCCCTGACATACCCTGAAGCAATACCCTTGCAATGACATACCCTCGGGTAGGAAGCTTGCAATGGTGTGACGAGATACCCTGACATACCTCGGGTTTCGAAGCTTCAAATGGTGTGACAAGATACCCTGACATACCCCGGGTAGGAAGCTTGCAATGGTGTGACGAGATACCCTGACATACCTCGGGTAGGAAGCTTGCAATGGTGTGACGAGATACCCTGACATACCCCGGGTAGGAAGCTTGCAATGGTGTGACGAGATACCCTGACATACCTCGGGTAGGAAGCTTGCAATGTTGTGACGAGATACCCTGACATACCTCGGGTAGGAAGCTTGCAATGGTGTGACGAGATACCCTGACATACCCCGGGTAGGAAGCTTGCAATAGTGTGACGAGATACCCTGAAGTTATATGCCAGAGTCGGACATATGTCACCAGAAGCCAGATGACGCATGGTGACAGCAAGTTTCAGGCCAGGACTGAGTGCGGCCCTGAAATTGGTGTCCTTCTCTGTTAGTCGAGGAGCCAAGACCATGAGCAACTCGTCAAAGAGGTTAGGTGGCACCCGGAGATAGTTGAAGAAGGACTGTTTGTCTTCGAAGCGGAGCTCCTCCAATAGATTGTCATAGTTACCAAGACCAATTCTTCGCTCCAGTCTCAGTCATGGACGCACCCAGAACCGTTTTGGAGTGTATGCCCTTCGTCTTGTTCGTCTTCTGTTGTGGATGGCAATATCTCGTTGCAATTCATTGTACTCATGTAGCAGCAGCAGTAGGCTTTTCCATGGTTATTATGTTATTATAGGCGGACTCAGGCGAAAATCCTTTGATCTTTACCGAAATTTCCGCAGAAATGACCCGCTCGTTCCGAAATAGAACGAGGGTCATTCGCGGTGTATACGCGCTTATTCCGTCCTGAAAGCAAATATTCCGCGCTTATTCCGCAGTGCTTCCGAAATTCTTCCCCGCCATCTGGATTAGTACCGTAACCGGGGCGGTGGGGTAGCCTAGTGGTTAACACGTTGGCTCGTCACGCCGAAGACCCGAGTTCGAATGGGTACAATGTGTGAAGCCCATTTCTGGTGTCCCCCGCCGTGATGTTGCTGGAGTATTGCTAAAAGGGGCGTAAAACCAAAACTCAGTCAGTCAGTCAGTACCGTAACCTAACGTAGCTATTCCTTGCATGTTCTGCGGTTTCAGAGTGTGTTCTGCAAATTGTCCGAAGGTTTTCCGTTCTAATCCGTACTCGTTCCTAGGTGTTCTGCAGTTTCTCCGTGGAATTTTCCGCCGCTGCGCCTAGGTTTTGAAGTATGTGTTCCGAAGAATCCGTAAATGTTCCGAAGGTATTTCGAAGGATTATCAATTTCCATTTTTCCGTGGCATTTTGTCCAATTTTCCGCGCTAAAATACCGAAGCTCGTCCGTAGACTCCATTCCGCGCACGTCCGCGAAGGTCCTCCCGTGCCGCAGCCCAGTGAAATGGGGTTATAATATGACATGTGTCATTCGTCTTTACTGACATTTTTGTTTTTCATCAAACTTGTGTTTCGGCTGTAAAGCATGATGACAATTACCAATTTCGCGAAAACCAACTGTCACCACTCCACTCATTTTGAGTGATCCAGACATATAATTGTCATTATTAATCAGCATGTTCGCCCTATCTGTTTAGGCAGATATTCGAAACATATTGTTGTCTGGTTTTGTCATTTTGAACGAAGCAATGGAATATATCGAGCCAGCCATCATGGAGTGTAAGCAAATTCACCTCTGTGGTTTAAATATAGGCATATTCCTGAAAAATGACACCTCGTATCAGCGCTTCCACCGACGGTTGTCAGAACATGTTGGAGGAATGATGTCATCATTATGTTACTCTTACCATCATTACAACAAGTATTGGAGACTTTACCAATCATCAGCCAGTTAACACATTATTAATATATTTATTTATATTACTTCATCGTGGATCATTACATGATAATTTGTTTATGTCAACCTGCGACGATATCCATTGGACTAGACGCCGGTTAATGACAGCGAAAGTGACGTTCATAAGCGTTTATTTTGATCTCACATTATTCTTGAAATGACGTCGTATTGACTGACTATTACACGGTAACTGCCATACACGAATGCGTCCAGAAGGGTTGTTTTCAATCTTTTGAACCTCACTACGCCGACATTAAGATTGCTGGGAAAAACTTACAGACGAATAGCCTCGTGACGAAGAAATGCACATCCAGATAACAGTAGTATCGACTCGATCCGTGTGTAGATTTGACAGTGACGGTGTACAGCCATCTTTCAATTTACCTGAGAATTTACAAGCCTTAATAATCAGCTTTCAGCTGCAAACTGATCAATGCAATCAACTGACTAACACTAGCGCTGTGAAAAACTTATTGAGGTAGGTTTTAAAATAACTTTCTAATTTAATGATGATAGCATTTAAATATATTTGTTGTAACCAAATACAAAACTAATTACATTACTGTAGGTGCATTTCCGCAAACATACACTTATCTTATCTATTCTTTTGAGGAACTATAGCTTTCCATGTATCTGTTATTGCGTTTGTCTATCCTACTTACGTTTGTTAACATATGTCGGTTTCTTCAAAGATTTTATCTATCTTTGCTGATCACAATGTACGCAGTTATGGAAACTCAACTATTTTTACGAAGTTCCTTAAACATAGAGTTGACTGTGCACCTTTGGCTTTAGCAGTGATCTAAACAGAACCGTAACGTATTCTTTTTCATTTTCAGCATGTGTTAGTTATAGTGGTATATGATGTCAGGATATTTGGTTGGGCTATTCATCCTCAAGCCAAACTATTTATACACGCCATGTTGACCTTCGCCATCAATCAGGAAGAATTAAACAACGAACAAACGATTATAGCATCAAAAGTCTCAGTAAAAACCCTGGAAGTCGTTTTTGGCCTATGGCCTCATATCACGATAGTATGGTAATCTACCTTCCGCTGCTGGCGATCAACATCCCGGTTTTACATTCTATTGTCTTGAATAGTGAAATAAATGTAAGGCTAAATATGGTAGTTTTAAGTGTCATATTTGTGATATTCTAATTGTTTTTCTTTCTCTGTGAACAGTACTTTATAAACTTACCTTACGCATTATGTATGTATAACAGTTTCTTGTTTCAGTCACAATATGGTTGAAATACTATGTATGTAACTATAAATCATAACTCACTCACTCACCGTACGGTATTATTCCCTAATGCAAGAGCACTAACTGGCAAAACTTGTGTTCGAGGTGCGCTATTTCCTAGTGCTCTATAATCAACATATGTTCATGTTACAGAACCGAAGGTACACTGGTAGCTCATGCACAGAACGTGAGTATCGATGGGCATGTATACCTGTGTAATGGATATGCTGACAAAGCATGAAATGTATTTTATGCTTTCACATTGTAAGTCGACATATAAAGACAGCATCACATATGTCATATATTGACTGATCGGTATAATATTGGTAAAGAAACTAAATACGCAGAATGTAACAACATATCTATTCTATTGTTGCTGATTCTGTGAATGTCCACATCCAAGTGATGAATCTTCCCTGTTGTGTTTTATGAGGACTTGTCTGATGAAGTGCCATCGCAGATGTCACAGCAGTTGCCCGCTATGACTTGGCAATATCCCCTTCAACCACGTGCACATCATCTCCGAACGACAGGATCGCCCGTGTGAATGATTTGTGTCGACATTTCTGCTAGCACTTTGGCAGCTAATTGTCCTACATGTCTTACATTTGAACTGTTTCTGTCATATGACTGAAGTTCAATCTAATGTTGACAGAAACTTTAACATCACATTTTCAAATATATTCACTCTTGATTTACCCTTATAGATTCAACAAGTACATTGAGCTCGAGGTTCTAAATCGAATGGAGTAATACCGCTAGATTGAATGACTCCATACGTTTCTCAAACCCAATAACATGTTAAATAGATGAATGACTGCGGAAACAGGAACTGGCTGAACATACCCCAACTGTCTTTTTGCAGTATTACATCCAAGAGGGAGCCTGTGCTGAATTGGAAGGATGTCAATACACCATAACTCGTATGCCACTATCTGTTAAATACTGATACTACAACAGAGGGGAAAATTGAAAGTGCTGAGTTGGACAGTTTGCATGGTGACCGGGTCGGTCCTTTGGGCCATGTGTTGTACCTGCAGGAGAGCCTAAGACTGACCGCTGGATAAGGAGGCACGACAAGCACCATATCATACCAACTGTAGTAAGCTGCCAACTTTCCCTGGTCTATTGTCATTCTGTTAGTCTTCTCTGGTAGACATTTTATATATATATAATGCTACAAGACCAAGAGTTAATCTGGAGGAAGACGTTTGGGAATAGGACAGTTTCAGAAGATTGTCAAATACAAATGTTATCTGTAATTGTCTTTGTTTTTTTCTGCTGTTTGTTGTTTAACGCGACTGTCTGTAAATAATAAAACCCAGTGATCAACGTCATGAGCATCGATCTATGCAACTAGAATACGCTGACATTCTGTAATTGTCAACACTAGCACTCCAGTGCAGTTTCAATACATGGAAACACATTGCAGTCAGGATGGAATAATATGACGTCGAACTGGATT